GGAGGAGGAGCTGACTTTCGGAGCTTCGCCGCGGGAGCCCGCACCGGCGCCTCCGGGCGCCGCGGCCTACCTGTTACCATGGCTGGCTTCGGGCAGCGGGCTTCGGGCCTCGGGGCCTCCCCAGACTGGCTCGGGGTGGAAACGCGAGCTAGGAGCGAGGAGCGACGAGGAGCGAGGAGCGAGGAGGAGGAGGAGGAGGAGGAGGAGGAGGAGGAGGAGGAGGAGGAGGAGGAGGAGCGAGGAGGAGGAGCGAGGAGGAGGAGGAGGAGGAGGAGGAGAGGAGGAGGAGAGGAGGAGGAGGAGGAGGAGGAGGAGAAGGAGGTGAGGAGGAGGAGGAGGGGAGAGGAGGAGGAGGAGGAGGAGGAGCAGGAGGATGAGGAGGAGGAGGAGGAGGAGGAGGAGGAGGAGGAGAGAGGAGGAGGAGGAGGAGGAGGAGGAGGAGGAGGAGGAGGAGGAGGTGGCGACCCTGAAGGGCTCCTTCAGGGCCCTTGTCTTCACCCCCCAAACAGGTTACCCCCCATGACCACCCGCCCGAAATTTCGGACCCCTTCCTGGGCGTGCCGAATCGTTTTGTTGACTGCCCCAGGGCTCGGCGAGGGCTCCTGGCCCTGCCATCGGATCCGCCGTACCCTTTGGGCGATTTCGCAAGTCGGGCGATATTCCCGCCCTACTCTTCAAGATCTTTGATGCCGATTCCCGCCCTGGAAGGGGAGGGCTCGTTGGCAGTGGACCCAGAGGCCCAATGTCTTGGACAAGTGAAGGCGGCGGTGTTTCGCAGTTTGTGGCCTCCTGGGGGGACCCTGATGGTCCGCTACCGAGAATTTCCGGTAGCGCTCCGCAGAGATCGGTCGCTACCGAAATACCGAGATGTAGCGCCCAATACCGGTATCAGACCGTTCTGAAATCCGCTATTTCAACGCCCTCAAACGAAGATCCGGTCGCTACCGAAATTCGGGGTGCGTCGACATCGCTACCGAGAATTTCCGGTACCAGACCATCTGGGGAGGGGCGGGCGCAGTTTCTGGCCCCTGGGGGGCGGGGGGGCTCCCGCTGCGCCGCGGGGCCGTCAACGAGAGCGAGCCCCGAAGAGAAACAGGCCCTGGGGAAAGCGCCAGACATCGGATGCCTGGGGAGCGGCCCACGCACCCACGAGGCTGAAGCCAGGGGTCCCTCCTCCCTCTCCTCCCTCCTCCTCCTCCTCCTCCTCCTCCTCCTCTCCTCTCCTCCTCCACCTCCTCCACCTCCTCCTCATCCTCCTCCTCCTCCTCCCTCCTCCCTCCTCTCTCCTCCCTCCTCCCTCCTCCCTCCTCCCTCCTCCCTCCTCCCTCCTCCCTCCTCCCTCCTTCGAGCGCACCAGGGGAGAGGCCTTGGGAGCCTCCGTGCAGAGTTGACGCGCGGGGAGGCGACGCCCTCAGCCGGCGGCCCTCGCGAGGCGGTCCGGAGCCCGCCCCCGGGGGGCAGCTCGTTCGTGCCGGATCAGTGGCTGGCGGCCCCGGCGCCCTGCAGCGGCTCCCGAGATCGGCCACGCGCAGAGTCAGGATGGAAAAAAACACACAGACACAATTAATCCTCGATTCCCCGGAAAATATGGGAAAATATGGGAATGGGGGGAGAAGACAAAAACCCAGAAAATATGGGAAAATATGGGGACTAATTTTATTTGTGAGTATTTATTTGTGTGTCCTAATTTCCCTTTACAGAGGGGGGTAGGAGGAGGGGGGAAGGCTTCTGAGAAGCACCCCTGCTTCTTAGAAGGCGCTGGCCTTCTCTGTACACGTAAGGCGGGGGCCTTCTAAGGAGCAGGGGTGCTTCTAAGAAGCCTTCCCCCCTCCTCCTACCCCCCTTGTGCGCGCCGCTAATGAGAGCAGAGGTCTGCGACCACAGCAGGCTGCCGAGGACCAAAAGGCAGACGCACAGCATCAGAGATCTCTGGGTCTCCCTCTGCTGCCCCCCCGAGGAGGCGGCGACCGTCGAGGAGGACCGCCACTACGCGCAGCTGTCGCTGCGCCGGGACGTCGCCGAGGCGCAGGAGTCGGGCGTTGCGTATTGGGGGGGGGGCGCCAGCTGGGGGACGGAGAAAACGGTGCACCTTTTCGTGCCCTAAGGCCCCCCCCTGCGGCCCTAACAGGGCACGAAAGGTCACGATTCGCCCACCTCATACATATCTATATATATACATATGTATATATATATATGTGTATATATATATATATGTGTATAGCTATAATTATATATATAGCTATAGCTATATATGCAACCACATGAGCCTCATCTGCCCGATGACCCCTGCGAGCCCCCTGCAACACATACGCTCACGAGCCCAATGCGCCGTACGACCCCGTGCTCCCCACGACCTCATACGCCTTCTAACCCCTGCGAGCCCCACCATCTTTATCAGCTCATGAGCCCTACAACCCTTCCCAACCCTGTCACCCCTACGACCCCTATAAGTCTTATGAGCCCCATGTGCCCTCCAAGAACCCCCGAAACACCTCTACCATGAGCTCTACGAGCCTTACGCACCCTACGAACCCATGAGCCAAATGAGTTCCTCGGCCCTACCACACATACGAACCCTATGACCACTCACTTCTTCCTCTCCCCTCTCTCTCTCTCTCTCCCCCCTCTCTCTCTTTCTCTCTCTCTCTCTCTCTCTCCCTCCCTCCCTCCCTCCCTCCCGTCCACATGCTCTGCTTCCATGCCGTTTCAAGTGGCAGCAAACTCGCCAGCCAAACGAAAACAACGGCCCTCAGACGAGCTCCCTGGGTCCTATGAGGCCTACGAGCCCCATGGGCCCTATGAGGCCTACGAGCCCTATGAGGTCCTGTACGCTTTACGAGCCCCATGAACCCCACGAGTTATATGAGCCATATGGGCCCTACGAGACGTATGACCCCCGTGGACCCTGCGAGCCCCACGAGCTCGAATGGCCACTATGAGCCCATGGAGCTATGGCTCCTATGAGCCTTATGACCTCCATGCGCCGCAGGGCCCCTCCGAACCCCATAGGCCTTATGAGACCCATTGGCCGTGCGAGCCGCATGAGCCCTACGAGCCCTATACGCCCTATGAGCCCTATGGGCCCAATGTCGCCTGTGAGCCTCTTAGACGTCTAGCCTTCTGAGCCGTACGAGCCCAAAGAGCCCTACGATCCTTATGAGTCCTATAAGACTTATGGGCGGCTCTATTGGGCCTTTAAGCCCTATGAGACCAATGAGCCCAACGAGCCCTATGAGCACTACGAGCCCAGGGGGCCCTATGGGCCCCATGTCGCTTATGGGCCTCATAAGGCCCAAGAGCACTACGAGCCCCATCAGCCTCATGGTCCCCACGGCCCGCGCGACCCCTGAGAGCCTGAAGAGTCCCATGAGCCCTGTGAGCCCCGTCGGCCCTATGAGCCTTATGACCCCGACAACCCGTTCTGCACCTGATGAGCCTCCTAGGCTCAACCAACATAATGACCTCACAAACCCTATGAGCCGACCAGCTCTGTGGGGCCCAAGAGCCAGTGGCTTCTGTGAGGCCATGGACCCTACGAGCCTTCACGCCCAAGGAGCTCATCGGCCCGAGGAACCCTCTGAACTCAAGTATGGCTGAGGGCTCTTGGAACCTCATGATCTCTAGGAGCCGCGCTGCCCGAAGTACCCCTCTTCCACATCGCCGCTGCGAGCTTTTGGGCCCCAATGGCGGCGGAAAGCTCTTCAGACCTCTAACCTTGAGGAGCCCACAGGTCCTATCAGCCCTGTGTGCCCCATGGGCCCCACTGCCGGAACACACCGCGGTGCTAGCGACTACCAGTCGCCGCGCGCCTCGCTGGCGCCATGCGACCAAGATTGTAAAGGCGAAGCGAAGCGAGCCCGCAAAACCTGGTGTTTGAATGTGCATATTTGTATCAACATCTCTTTCTCTCTCTCTCTCTCTCTCTCTCTCTCTCTCTCTCTCTCTATATATATATATAGGAATGTAAGTGTGTGTATATATATATATAATTGTGTATACATTCTATATATATACACATACATACACATATGTATATGTATGTGTATATATATATATGTATATATATATATATATATATCGCCCCCATGAAGCAACGCCTAAGAGGAGACCTACGCGCTCTTCGCGTCCTACGACGTGGACGCCGACGCCCCGCGCTACCCGCGGCCGCCGCCGTCCCTGGGGCGCCGCGCCCCCGGCCGCGAGGGCGGCCCGTGCGCAGAGCCCAGGCCTCCGGCGCCGTGAGCCCGCCCTGATGGTCCGCTACCGAAAATTTCCGGTAGCGCTCCGCAGAGATCGGTCGCTACCGAAATACCGAAATGTAGCGCCCAATACCGGTATCAGACCGTTCTGAAATCCGCTATTTCAACGCCCTCAAACGAAGATTCGGTCGCTACCGAAATTCGGGGTGCGTCGAAATCGCTACCGAAAATTTCCGGTACCAGACCATCTGGGCGGACGAGGTCCGGGGCTCGAGAGGCGAGGGTCCCCAGAGGTCCAACGTCTTGACAAAAACCAAGACGGGAGGGTTTTCGCCATTTTCGGCCCCGGGGGGCCCTCGCCCGTGCGCAGAGCCCAGGCCTCCGGCGCCGTGAGCCCGGACGGGGTCCGGGGCTCGGGAGGCGAGGGTCCCCAGATTTGGACGCCCGGAATGGGTACTGAAAGAATGGGTACAATGGCCAACAACAAGTCCTGTTCATTTTCAGCTGGATTCGCTGTCCACGCCGCCGCGGCCTGTGTCCATTCGAGACAGAAGGCCGCCTGCCCAACAGCGGCCGCTGTTGGCTTGGGACAACATTTGTTGATGGGCATAGTGCCCATTCTTTCCGTGCCCATCTCGGGTGTCCAAACCAGAGATCCAACGTCTTGAAAAAACCAAGACGGAGGTGTTTCGCCATTTTCGGCTCCTGGGGGCCCTCGCCGGGCCTCGGGGCCGTCAAGAAACGACTCAGGATGACCAACCGGTCCTGGGGAAGGGGTCGAGGACTCTGGGGTCGACGTAAGGAAAAAATCATTACGTCGGGGGTATGGGGACGAGGGTCAGTGCAGACGGGGGTCAGCGCCAGGGCACCAGATCCTGCAGGATCCTGCGAAGACCCCCTCTGGCTGACCAGAGTTGTTAGCGAGCCGCTCGTGGCCACGAGGCGGCCGCGCTCATTGGCTGACCCGGGTTTGCGAAACCCTGCGCTGCAGTTGTTTTTTTCCTGCATTGCAGGTTGTTGGTTTCCTGCTGATCTGGATTGACCCGGGTCAGAAGATCCCCGAGAGATTTGGAGGCCGCGCATTGGGGAGGGATACGCTTGATTGCACATGGGGTCGGAGGATCGCGCCGCAACGCCGATGTATCAGAGATGCGACGCGACGTGGAGCTGGTTTATCCACGCCGACGTCGCCGATGTAACGCGGATCTATCGCCGATTCATCTGCGATGCAGCGCCGATTCATCGGCGATGCATGGGGCATGGGGCCCCAACTCAACCCGAAGGCTTCAATTTTGCCTCCGTTTCCAGTGTGGGGAGGGGTCCGAGAACACCGAAAAAACACATGGAATCCGTACCTCCCCCCCCCCAGACCCGAAATTCGGGTCAAATTCGGGTCTTCGGGTTGGGTTAGGGTGGTCTGGTAGGTAGTCAGATCTGTGGGGGGGCAGCGAGGGCTGCAGACAAGGGGCCCTCTATAGGGCCGACAGGAGGGCTTTCAGGCCCCAAGAAGTGCACCTTTCTTCCCCCCCACAGATCGCCCCCCCGTCAAGCGCCGCCCAAATGATCGCGTCGTGGACAAAATCAGGACGGATGGTTTTTGGCCGCTCGCCTCCGCCTCCTCCTCCTCTTCCTCCTCCTCCTCCTCCTCCACAATTACAGAATATGAATTCCATTATCCTCTCTCCCCTGGTGACGTCCGGGAAATATTCAGCCCCCCTCCGAGTACTGATTTTTTACACGTGATTCTCGGGAAACTGGTTTTCGCTTGGTTTTTTTTTTTTACGCTGCTCTCGCTGAAGCGCTGGCCTCATTCTTAGGCTACCGTTCGTTCCGAATCGTGCTCCCGCTGCAGCGCTGGCCTCATTTCTGCGCTTCCGCTCGTTCCGATTCGTGCTCCCGCTGCAGCGCGGGCGTCATTATTTTCAGCGCCATGCCACGGCATGGTTTTCGGTCCTCCAAATTGTTTCCAAAATCTAGAAAATTTGCCCCCCGAAAAAACCATCGGAAATGATTACACATTCGGTGTCGCCCCCCACTTTGGGGCGTCGCCACGCCATGCTATGTCAGGCTACGCGTTGAACTTCAACACCATGCTATGCCATGTAATGCTATGCCCTGCTACGACATCCGACTGTGCGAATAGAGAGGAGATCTACGCCATGGTAAGGGATGGGAGGGAGGGGTAGGACGTCAGATATGACTTGAGCGCATCTAGCTTGTCCTCCTCCCCCTCCTCCGCCGCCTCCGCCGCCTCCTCCTCCTCCGCCTCCTCCTCCGCCTCCTCCTCCTCCGCCTCCTCCTTCTCTTCCTCCTCGTCCTCCTCTTCCTCCTCCTCCTTCTCCTCCAGGGGATCGTTCGCTCCTCCTCCTCCTCCTCCTCCTCCTCCTCCTCCTTCTCCTCCTCCTTCCTCCTCCGGCGCGCAGGGGGGGGTCCCAGACGTGGTTGCGTCGTAGGTTCTTGGCCGCTTTCGGCCCCTGGGCGCCCTCGCCAGGCCTCGGGACCGCCAAAGAACGACTCAGGATGAAAAACCGGTCCCGGGGAAAGGGTCGGGACTTGCAGGGGCCCCGTGTTGGAAAGCATCAGTACGTCGCACGTCTGGGACTGTTTTTGCTGTTTCGCTGGAGCGGGTTGTCCCGCCTCGCTGCCGGCGGACAGACATGTTTGGGACCGGTTCGCAACCCAGGCCGCTCCAACGTACGGCAGAAGTCGGCCACCTCTCGGCGATTTCGGAGGCACTGATTTTCAAAGCGTGTGGTCTGCAGCCCGCGACCAGGGGTGGCGGGCGAGGACCGCGACAAAGATATCTGACGCGCCCCGACGTGGGTTCATCAAGGCTTTGGCGCAGCGCGGTGAGCCCCGAAGCCCCTACAGCGCCGACGTGAAAGAGAGAACTGCACAAACATTCGACGTAGGGGACGAGGTCAGTACGTAGGATGCTCCGCATATCCACGAGCATTATTTTTCTGGCAGATCCGACAACACACACAGAGTTTTTGGGTAGATGAATTATGTAGTCGGTCCCATGCTTGAGACGTATGGGCAAATCACACGTCGGAGAAGAGATCATTGCACAAAACCCTTCGGTGCTCCGCGCGGGTTGCTTGGATCGTCACTGGGACGCGAACACACATTGGAACGCGAAACGCAAACGTACACACATTGGCTTCTTGGATCGGGCCCCCACTGGAACGCGAACACACGAGCACACGAACACATATACGCACACAAGCGCATACACAACACACAACACACAACATACAACACACACACCACACACACACACACACACGCACACGCACACGCACACGCACTCACAAGTTGAACGAAAGGCGCCGATATTCGCCGCCCACTCACAAGTTGAAAGAAAGGCGCCGATATTCGACCCCCCGGCGGCGCCCCCGTCGCAGCCCCCTGGGGGGGCAACAAAAGCGTGGCTGGTCGTCGTCGCCGGCGTTGGCGCGTGAGCTCTCCGCGTGGGGTCGCGCGTGGGCGCCCCGCGTTTCCAGGGCGGCGTTGCCGCGCTGGCGGCCCGCGCAAGCCTCGGCGTGAGGTCGCCATGTCGTCTCGCGGACCAGGGCCAAGCCCTCTCCTCCTCCTCCTCTTCCTCCTCCTCCTCCTTCCTCCTCCTCCTTCTCCTCCTCCCTCCTCCTCCTCCTCCTCCTCCTCCTCCTCCTGCTCCTTGGGTCGCCTACGGCCCCGGGGGAAACTGTGCAGCTTGACGACCCGCTTCCTTTCGTAGCTTATGTGTCGTGTCGGGGAAGAGAGAATTACACTTAAGTCGGGCCTGCCTCCCTACAGGGGGATGTTCGACGGAACATTGAAGATACCCCACCAATGGTCGAAAAATGGTCCCCAAATAGTCTGGCGACTATATTTGGATTATTGTTTGGCCTTTCTGGGGCATTTTTCGGGTATCTTTGAGCTTTCGTCGAAATCCCCCTGTAGGGGGACACGCCCGACATAGAATTACACAAACATAGACCTCAAGAGCTCCGCGCGGGCCCCTTGGACCGGCCCTGGGCCCCACCCTGGCGGCGCCTCATTGCGCCGACCCTGGGGGGGCTGCGCGCGCCAGGGAGGGAGGGGCGCCCAGCGCCGATCCCCCAGAGAAGCGCGCGGAGCTCCAGGAGTGTATGTTTGTTCAGGGGTCCCAGGGCCCGAACAAGCGGGCGGAGACGCCCCGTGCGAAAAATCAGGCGGACGGCAACAGTCAAACGACGCGAAGAGCGGGACAAAATCGGATCGGGATAATTCGAAATCTCTGAGAATCGGCGGGTTGGGAGGATGTATTGGGCGCCGCGGCCGCTCCAGAGCGTTCCGGAACGCTCTGAGAGCGCTCCGGAACGCTCTGGAGCGATTTATCCCGATCCTAGCCTTGTTTTAAACAGGGGGGTAATAAGCGCAGGGGGATCGAGGAGTGCAGGAAAGGGGCGCTAAACGGCCTCTCTGTATTGCCACCGCTGGCCCAAAAGGCGCACGCTGCTTCACCCAGGATGTCTGCTGCCCCGTTGTCAACGCACACCCGGGAAAAGCTGCAGCGCCCGGATCTCAGGGTCTCCAGGGTGTGAGGAGTGGGAGTAGCAGTCCGCCCGGAGCTTGGGCTTGTGATCCACGACCCAAACATCCGCCGACGAGATGCTTGAAGTGCGCGGCCCCAAACGACCCGACCCCTCCCAGAGGTTTGTCTTTCGCCCCCGAATCTTGATGTCCGCCCCAGGGGCTTGGCATCGCTCGGACGTGCGCATTTTTCCTTCGGCGAGGACCATCGGGGAGCATCCCTGATCGTTTGGCGAAAAAGCCACGCATGAAACCAGAAAAAAGCACAGGGAATGGACGTCCGAGCGATGGCCAGGGGGTCGAAATCCAAGACGAACGAGCGGATTGAAACAACCACGTTAGCCACGGAGGACAATGGGGCCGATTGTGCCGACACTTTCAGGAGGAAAAGAAACACACAGACACAATTAATCGTCGATCCCCCAGAAAATGTGGGAAAATATGGGAAGTGGGGGGGAAGACAAACATTTCAAACATATGGTAGATATGGGGAATCGTTTCATTTGTGTGTATTTATTTGCGTGTCCTGGGGAGGAGGAGGAGGAGGAGGAGGAGGAGGAGGAGGAGGAGGAGGAGGAGGAGGAGAGGAGGAGGAGGAGGAGGAGGAGGAGGAGGAGGAGGAGGAGGAGGAGGATGAGGAGGAGGAGGGCCCCTTCACACCTGCGCGCAAGAGCTTCCCGCGCGAGGCCGCGCGCCTCAGCGCCCCCTCCGCCAGCGCGGTGTGCCCTGCGCGGGCGGCCCTAGCAGAGCCCCGCGCGAGGTCGATTGAGGAATTGGCGTCGCGAGAGGGCGCCGCGGCCGTCCTTTTTGCGGGTCCAAGGGCCCCACCACGAGCTGGAGGGGGGGAGGAGGTGGAGGACGAGGAGGAGGACGAAGAGGAGGAGGAGGAGGAGGAGGAGGAGGAGGAGAAGGACCTCCTCCCCCTCCAACTCATGGTGGTGGTGGTGGTGGTGCAAAACAGGCCCAGGCCGTTTTCACTAAGGGGAGGTCTACTTAAGGAAGGTTCGTCCACCGCCGAAATCCCGTTTCCTTGTGTCCCGCGCGGCGCGTGGCGCTCTGCGGCCCGCGCGCCCGGAGCTCGGATCCGCTATACCTCGTGGACTGCCGGCTGACGGGAGCCCGAGGCGGGAATTGATCCGTGTCCGCCGCCTGGAGGGCCAGTTTTCGGAGCCTCGGCAGGCGGTGGGCATGGACATCTTCGGGCCCCCGGGGCCGGAATATATGTCCAGATCCACCGCCCGCTGGGGCACCAGGGCGTCGGTTCCCAGGCGGTGGATATGGATGACTCCCCGCCTCGCAAGGAGCGTGGTTCTTTTCTTGCTTGGGGCATACGTAGTGGGCGGTGTAGCCCCCGGCCCTCCCTCCCCCTCCCCCCTTACAACGTAACGCCCCTCCCCCCCCCAGGCGCTCCGGGCACTGCCTGCAGCCGTGCGCACGGCCCCCCTGGCCCCTTCCCCCTCCCCCTCATAATGCCCATTGTCGCCGAACATAAGGACACGCGCTCCAGATGAGCCGGAAGCGTACCCCAATGGATGCGAACCAGTAGGTCGGAGCTCTCCGCCTCAGACGAAGATCGCGCAAGACCCGTTTCCATTCGTCGCCCACGTCGTCGGACATCCAGCTGCCTCCTGGGGGCCTCCTGGGGCCCCTTGGCTGCGCCCTGGAGGCGCCGGCGGGGGCTCCTGGGGGCTCCTCGTGCCGCCCGAGGGCGCTCCCAGGAAAATATGGGAAAATACGGGAAGCGGGGGGGGAGACAGAAACCTCCCAAAATATCGGGAAAATGTGGGGGATCCTGTTATCTGTGTGTATTCGTTTGTGTGTCCCAGGGCCCCTTCATCTTGGGCCGTATGGGCGCTTTCAGAGTCTGCCTAGGGGGAGGAGGAGGAGGAGGAGGAGGAGGAGGAGGAGGAGGAGGAGGAGGAGGAGGAGAGGAGGAGGAGGAGGAGGAGGAGGAGGAGGAGGGAGGAGGAGGAGGAGGAGGAGGAGGAGGAGGAGGGGAGGGAGGGGGAGGAGGAGGAGGGGGGGGGAGGAGGGGGGAGAGGAGGAGGGGGAGGAGGGGGAGGGGGGAGGGGAGGGGGGAGGGGGAGGGGGAGGGGGGGGGAGGGGGAGGGGGGCTCTCTGGGTCGTCTTGGGCCTCTCTCGAGCGCCTGCTTCGGCCGACCGCCGCGCAGAAACACGCACAGACACCCTCCAATGGATTTTGTTCCTGGCCCTCCCTGAAGGTACGGTAGGTTCGCGTCGTGTCGACTGGCGGCGACCCCGCCGCCGACGTTCAACGTTGAACGCCGACGGCGGCCCAGAATCGGTCGATGTTGAACGATCGGACGTTGCGGAGACGGCCGATCGTTCAAGGTTGAACGATCCCTGCGGTGTGAAAAACCAACGCTGGGGTCGGCACGACACGAACCTGCCGTACATGGCAAAGCGTGTCGGAGGGTGTCAGTGTATATTTTCCCGCGGCGTGGACTTCGGGCCCTCTTGGGCCGTTCTTGGGCCATCTTGGCGCCCTCTTGGACCGTCGTCGGATGCCTGGGCCTGCCGGAGGAAACACAGGCACAGCCACGACTGAACCTCGCACTGCCCCGAAAGTATGGGAACCTGTGGGAAGTGGAGGGGAAGACGAAGTCCAGAAAATGTGGCAAACTCCAGTGGATCCTGGAATCTGTGTTTCTTTGTTAGTGCCTCCCTGGGCCCGTTTCCGAGTAGGGGGGATCCACCACATAATTCATTTGCCCCAGAACTGAGCCGTCGTCGAATCCACGAAGGACGCGCAGGATGATGCCCTGCTGATCTACGAACATGCTGCGCCTTCTTCGTGCGTTCGAGGACCCACAGATCTGGGGTACGTCCTTGGCTGCCCTGACTACGCCCGTGCCGAAACGCAGCACGTGCCGTGCTCAAAAGCGTCCGTGCTGACACGCCGCGCGTGGGCTCGGCACCCGCTGGCCCCCAAGGCCTGCCGGCAGTTCCTGCTCCTTCTGCACCGGGCTCGCTGTCCGCGCCGCCGCGGCCCGCGTCCACTTGAAGCAGGAGGAACCGCCTGCCCAACAGTGGCCGCCGTCGGTTTGGGGCACCATTTGTTGCTGGGCATTGTGCCCATTCTTTCTCCGTGCCCACTTCGGGCGTCTAAAATCGCGCCAGGCCCGCGTGTTCAGTCTGCGTGTTGAGCTCCGTGCCAGCACGCTGCGTGCCGCGTGTGGCGCAGCGGCCCATCCCCTGCTCGACCTCTGGGCCTCCGCGGCGCGAGGAGGCCTGGGTGCACAGAACCGCGTGGGCGCCAGCCGCTCCCCTCGACCACGGTCGCGCCCCACGGCGCCGGCCTCCTCGCGGCGCCGCCGTGACATCGGCGCCGGCGGCGCTGGCGGGCCGGGCGGCCCTGCGGAGCCGGCGCAGGGGGGGGAGGAGGGAGGAGGAGGAGGAGGAGGAGGAGGAGGAGGAGGAGGAGGAGGAGGAGGAGGAGGAGGAGGAGAGGAGGAGGAGGAGGAGGAGGAGGAGGAGGAGGAGGAGGAGGAAGGAGGAGGAGAGGAGGAGGAGGAGGAGGAGGAGGAGGAGGAGGAGGAGGAGGAGGAGGAGGAGGAGGAGGAGGAGGAGGAGGAGGAGGAGGAGGAGGAGGAGGAGGAGGAGGAGGAGGAGGAGGAGGAAGAGGAGGAGGAGGAGGAAGAGGAGGAGGAGGAAGAGGAGGAGGAGGAGGAGCAGCAGGAGGCGGAGGAGGAGGACGAGGACGACGACGAGGACGACGACGAGGACGACGACGAGGACGACGACGACGACAGTGGAAACCCAAGACTTATCAACGATACGGGAATAGATCCTGTTGTGTCTGTTGTGTGTTGTGTGTGCTGTGTGTGTGCTGTGTGTGTGCTGTGTGTGTGTTGTGTGTTGTGTGTTGCGTGCTGTGTGTTGTGTGTTGTGTGGTGTGTGTGTGTGTGTTGTGTGGTGCGTGTTGGTTGTGTGTTGTGTGTTGTGTGCCGTGTGGTGTGTGGTGTTTGGTGTATGGTGTGTGTTGTGTTGTGTGTTGTGTGTTGTGCGTTGTGTGTTGAGTGTTGTGTGTTGTGTGCCGTGTGTTGTGTGTGTGCGTGTGTGCGTGTGTGCGTGTGTATGCGTGTGCGTGTGCGTTTGTGGCTCGGTGTTTCTCAGGTCCACCCTCGAGGAGCGTGTTTTGTAATTCCTTGGGGCATGATGGGCATCATAGCCCCTCGCCCCCTGGCCCACTCCACTATAACGCAGCGCCCCTCCCCCCCCCAGTGCGCTCCGGGCACTGCCGCCGTGCGCACGGCGGGGAGGAGGCATTACATTATAGCCCCCCCCCTGCCCCCCCCTTCCCCTCCCGAAAAGAAAGAATCGCGCTCCGGTTTTCCTTCGCCGAGGCCCCCGAAAGTAAAGGATCGCTCCTCGCTCCTCCTCGATCCTCGACTGGCAGGGGGAGCCGGTGGCCCCCCCCCAACAGCCTCCTCGATCCTCGATCCCTCCTCGCCGACCCGCGACTCTGCAGGAGGAGCCAGTGACCCCCTGGGTGGTGACCCCCCCTACACCTTAGGCGATGCTTAAGAAAACCCAAGTTTCCGTCCAGAGTCTCGATTATTCTTAACGTTTCAATCTAAATCCTAAGTTTGTAATAGAAATGTTGGGTTTTTATTCAAGATCTGAGACTATGAATTTCTTAACCCATGATTTCTTAAGCACTTCGCAGGGTGTACAACGCCCATTCTCGCCGACAAGAGACAGTGCCGCTTTTAATACCTGCTCCGCGTGCGGATCATGTCTTCGAGATGCATGGCTTCAGCAGCAAAAACAAGGAGGAGTCCATGCATACACTCGTTCACGAGGGAGCCATGTATTAAACATCCTCTATCTTAAATGTCCTATGTGTTAAAAGACTGCCCTGGGAGAATCGCGCTCCGGTTTTCCTCCGCGATCGCTGCAGCTCCCTCGCGACGTCGGATCTCGGGGGGGCCGGCCCCGGAGGGCGGCGGGCCGGCGTTCCCCCCGCCCCCCCCGGGCCGCGCGCTCTCGGCCCGCCTCCTCGTGCCCCCGTCCGCCTCCCCTCGCAGGCAGGCCGGCTGGCGGAGGCATCACCGGTGCCCCCGAGCGAAGGCGCGGAGGAGGAGGAGGAGGAGGAGGAGGAGGAGGAGGAGGAGGAGGAGGAGGAGGAGGAGTGGGAAAATCGTCGGAGGAGGAAGGGGTACTCGTACCGCTACCCTTCTTCCGTTTTCCCGTCGTTCGGCTTCCTGGGAGGCCCTCGTCGCCACCGCTGGATTCGCCCCGAGCTCCTGGTCGGAGCGCACCCCGGGAGAGGTCCAGAGAGTAGCTGTGTATGGGTACTGTATGTGGTGTCCCTGGAGGAGGATTGGGAAGATCGGGGGCGGCCAAGAGGGGGGTGATTGACCCCAGGGGGATATCAGGGCCAGGGCCACGACATCAATGCCCTCCTCCTCCTCCCCCTCCTCCTCCTCCTCCTCCTCCTCCTCCTCCTCCTCCTCCTCCTCCTCCTCCAGGCCAGGGCCACGATGTCTCCTCAGATGTCATGGCGCCGCCTTCTCTCCTCTCGAGGCGTCCCTGCGGCCCCCCCGGGGCCGCGCACGTGCCTCGGGCCGTGGGATTTGCGAGGCCCCCCTCCTGGACGCCCTCCTCTCGGCCGCCCCCGAGGAGGGCGGGGGGAAGGAGGAAGAGGAAGCGGGTCGGAGGAGGAGGAGGAGGAGGAGGAGGGAAGGGAGGAGGAGGACGAGGAGGAGGGCGAGAAGGAGGACGAGGAGGAGGACGAGGAGGACGAGGAGGAGGAGGAGGATCATTGGGACGGCGGAGGAGGAGGTGTAGGTGGAGGAGGCGGAGGAGCAGGAGGAAGGGGAAGTGGAGCCGTCCAGCCCAGCAAGGCCAATGGTAAGTGGGGGGGGGCTCCGCCGTAAGAGCGGCAGTACCGCCCACGGGAGGCCATGATCTGTCTCATTTGTGCCGGCACGAAGAAAGACTCTCGATGTGCACGAGTCACGCGAGAGGGAGGATGAGGATGGGGAGGAAGAGGAAATTCTGGATGCCTCGATGATGCTGCAATGCGCCCTCCCGTCCGAAGCCAAGCCCCCTCGGGGGGCCCTGCAGGCGTTCGTTTTCCATCTGCGGAAAAAACGATCCCTCGAAAGACGGGCGTCGCACGGGCCTGATGCCCTGGCGAGCCACGCTTTGAGGAGGAGGCGCGGGCCTCAATCCGTGTAAGTATTCTACACGTTCACGATTGTACGCGTCTGTCAGGAGGGGAAAAAACACAGACACAATTAATCGTCGATCCCCCAGAAAAGGTGGGTCAATATGGGAAGTGGCGGGGAAGACAGAAACCCAGAAAATATAAGAAAGTATGGGGGATCCTGTTATTTGTGTGTATTTGTTTGTGTGTCCTGGGGCCCCTTCAGTCTGGTTCTCGACTGTGGTGCAGTCAGGAGCGAGAGTCGGGTTCTTTGTAGAGGAGCCGCCCTCGGACCGCCTAGTTTTGAGTCGGGCGTGTCCCTCTGCAGGAGGAGTGTTCAAACATCGTCGAACAATAGTCTGGGGACGATGTTTTGAATGTCTGACTAGTTTGGAGTATGTGCTGAGTATGTTTCGTTTGTCGCCCAAAATTCGCCTGTAGGGGAACATGCCCGACCTAAGCATAGTTGTTGCTTAGTTATCACGCCATTTGAGAAATCTGCAATAACTCGAGAACGCCTCAACCAAAAGCTCCTCATTCCTCATGAAAAAAGTATGCCACTCTCCATCCGAGCACTCGTTGGGACAATCGTGTGCTCGAGCGCGCCATGGGAGTTTATTTAGTCCGAGCACTGAGGGGGGGGGGGGGGGGGCGAAGCTCTGTAATGCTTGTGCGTTGTAGGCGTCGTCCCCCAGTTCTTCGGTCTCCTGGGTGGGCCAGCGCGACGAGCCCGTGCCGCCGAAGGTGGCAGCAGCGCGCGCGCGCGATGGCGTGATGGGCCGCATCGCCCCGGACCCCCATGCCCGAGGTGAGTGGAAGTGTGCACTCTGTGCCTGGAAATGGAACTGTAAATGTAAATGTACATGTAAGTGTAAATGTGCATGCGCGACGACGACGGAGCCACTCTTGAGGTAGGATTGCAAAACAAAAAAAAAAAAAAAAAAAAACTGATTGCAAAAAAAAACCAGGATTGCAAAAAAACTAGGATTGCAAAACAAAATCGAAGGATTGCAAAAAAACCCTGGATTGCAAAAAAAACCTTCGTCGAAGGATTGCAAAAAACAAAAAAACCCTCGGTTTTGCAAAAAAAAAACATGTTTTTTTTTTGCAATCCGTCGTGCACGGCGCCAAGGCGTGAGCCGCCCTCTGCGCACCGTGGAGGATCCCTCGCCGCCCGCCCAGCTCTGAGAGACGACGGGCCGCGCGGGGGGGAGGCCTCGGGGGCCGGGCGCCGGGGCCCGCCCGATGTCGACACGTCCGGGGGGGGGGGGTGCGCCGCGGGGGAGTTGGTTTGTTCGGGGGGCGCGTTGGGGAGGAGGAGGAGGAGGAGGAGGAGGAGGAGGAGGAGGAGGAGGAGGAGGAGGAGGAGGAGGAGGAGGAGGAGGAGGAGGAGGAGGAGGAGGAGGAGGAGGAGGATTTTTTTTTGCTGTAGGCGACTGCCACACTAAGCTCCCGCGGGGATTAGAGGGCAGGCATCAAAATGGCGGGCACACGAGGCCCTACTTGCCGATGATGACCGAATTGTTAAACGAGTTTAACGAGAGCGTGAAGAAAATGCCGGATCTATGAGCATTGTGGGATAAGCTTCCAGACCCATAGCGTTACGACGAAAGTTCGAAAGTGATTCAAACGCCAGCCAGCGCAACATCTGCTCGATGGTATTCGGACTGAGTCTCGAAGACCAAGACAAACTGCTCAAATTCTTTACGCTTCGCGTATCCCCACCAGCCCATCTCACAGCAGCAACTCTTGCGAAGCATGCCGACAGTCGTGTTTTTCAGGCGTGTGTCCGCTAGGCCCCGCATATCTCCCCTGTTCCTCCTTCCTCCCGCCTCCTTGTACATCCTCCTTGTGGGGGGAGCGGGAGAAGGACGAGGCGGAGGAGGAGGGAGAGAAAGCGCTCCTCGTGATTTGAGTCGTTTGGGGTTTCTCGTCCTGGTGTGAGTCGTTCGGGCCCTTCTTCCTGGTGTGAGTCGTTCGGGCTCTTCGTGGTGTGAGTCGTTCGGGCTCTTCGTCCTGGTGTGAGTCGTTCGGGCTTCTCGTGGTGTGAGTTGTTCGGGCCCCTCATCCTGGTGTGAGTCGTTCGGGCCCCTCCTCCTGGTGTAACTCGTTCGGGCTCCTCGTGGTGTGAGTCGTTCGGGGCCCGCGTCGTGGTGTGAGTCGTTCGGGCTCCTCGTGGTGTGAGTCGTTCGGGCGCCTCGTCCTGGTGTGAGTCGTTCGGGCCCCTCCTTGTGGTGTGAGTCGTTCGGGCTCTTCGTGGTGTGAGTCGTTCGGGCCCCTCGTCCTGGTGTGAGTCGTTCGGGCTCCTCGTGGGGCCTCTTGGGGGCCTCTTGGGGCCTCTTGGGGCCTCTTGGGGGCCTCTTGGGGGCCTCTTGGGGGCCTCTTGGGGGCCTCTTGGGGCCTCTTGGGGCCTCTTGGGGGCCTCTTGGGGGCCTCTTGGGGGCCTCTTGGGGCCTCTTGGGGGCCTCTTGGGGGCCTCTTGGAGGCCTCTTGGGAGCCTCCTGGGGGCCTCTTGGGGCCATCTTGGGGCCTCTTGCGACCTCCTCAGAAGCGCAAATGAGCGCTGCCCCCTGAGAAGGACAAAATGAGCCCAAAACCTTCGTAAAATCAATGATTTTGCTATGAAGGAAGATGAGCGCGGCCTCCTCAGGACGCCCAAATGGGGCCAAAACCGTAGTAAAATCAATGATTTTTTGTTCAAAGAAGAGCAGAGGGGCCAAACTCGGCCCCCCCGTCGGGGCAAGAATCCTCGTGAGGGTCGTCGTTTTTTGGCCCTCCCAGGAGTCGAAAAAGACCCCCCTGACACCGCCCCGGACTCCCTGTCCAGGTCCAGGGGGAGGGGGTAGGGGGAGGGGTAAACCCCTCCCCGAAGGGGAAGATGGGGGGTTGAGAACAGAGATAGCTCGCTAAACCACTCACGCCCAAAGGGCTGGTGGGACTCCAGGTCGCCCGCAAGGGAAGAGAGAGACCCGCGAAACTCTTCAGGTGTCCCCCACCAGGCACGCCTGAACCGGGTCGTAAGGCGGTTCCACTGCCGTACCGAGTAGGAAGCCCGCTGCCGATCTCCAATCGACTTCAGCAACTGCTTCAGGAAATCACCGTCGAATCGTGAAGAGGAACATGCAGATGCAGAGCCGACACCATCGCCAGATATAGCCGTGCTTTCAGCGACGCCTTCACCAGCTTCTGTGCCAACTCCCAATAACTCGTCCGAAACATCCAAGCGAAAGTGCTGCACTTCAGCGGAATCTTGAACTTGAAGGCTGTGGCAAAATGCGTGCTCGTCATTCTCATCATCGCGAATTCGGTCCAGAGCAGAATCCTCCATGTCACGGCCGAGGTCCTCCATCCCATCCGAGGCCTCGTCCTGGCTGATCCTCTCCTTTGTGTCGTAGCCGTGCAACTGCTTCTCAACGTTCAGGCCAGCCTTGTAGCGGAGCTTGAGGTCGCGCTCCACCGCGTGCACGGCCTCCACTCCCCCGTCAGCTGGCTCTTGTAGCGGCGAGGCGGTGTACCGGCGCGCCTGGGGGGCGGCGGCGGCGCTGGCAATGGCTGCGCCTCCTCCATCTCCTCCGACGCGTGCACCTCCACCTCCATCGGGATGGACATCCTCGGCGGCGGCGGCCGAGGTACCAGGCGCCTCGGAGGGGTCGGCACGCGGACCTCCTTCGACGCCTCCATCACAATGTACTTCTGGCACTGCGTTCAGCTTCTTATTATTATTCTTCTTCTTCTTCTGCCCCTTGCTGCCCCTCTTGTCGCCAACGATGAACTTGGCCCTCGTGAAAAACTGCTGCGACTTCTCCTCCATCTTGGACTCCTCCATCCTGGCCTGGATCGCGACAGCGGCGGAAGAGCTGCTGTACGGGCACGGAGACAGGGATGTAGTAGTCGGGGGCGGCGGGCAGGCCACCAGACGCTGCGCGTGAGCAGCCCCCTCCCAATACAGTGGGGCGCGTTGGACTCGCACATCCCCCGGTGGTGGTGGCAGCGGCACGTGCCACAGCTCGGAACTCGACCTCGGCGCCGATGGGCACGCGCAGGACGATTTCCACGTGCTCGCCATTCATGAAGAAGATGAGGCCGAAGAAAAACCCTGGGCGTTCAGCACCTGCAAACGAGGTACCGCTCAAGCAAGCACACTACCGTGGTCCAGCCCCCAGGCGTATCGACTCCGAGGCCCCGCAATGGCGCGCGCCGCCGCGGCCGAGGGCAAAATGGCTGCGGGCGCCCAGCTCGAGCCGATACGGTTGCTTGAGGGGAGGAGGAGGAGGAGGAGGAGGAGGAGGAGGAGGAGGAGGAGGAGGAGGAGGAGGAGGAGGAGGAGGAGGAGGAGGAGGAGGAGGAGGAGGGAGGAGGAGGAGGAGGAGGAGGAGGAGAGAGGAGAGAGGAGAGAGGAGAGAGGAGAGAGAGAGAGAGAGAGAGAGGAGAGAGGAGAGAGGAGAGAGGAGGAGGAGGAGGAGGAGGAGGAGGAGGAGGAGGAGGAGGAGGAGGAGGAGGAGGAGGAGGAGGAGGAGGAGGAGAGAGGAGGAGGAGGAGGAGGAGGAGGAGGAGGAGGAGGAGGACCAGCGGAAACCCAAGAGTCACATGCGACGTTGGAAGTGACCCTCCCTCCAAGCTTCCTCCGACATACGCCCCTAGACAGATGCCTTTCCACGAAGGGAAGTGCCCCGTTAGGAGACAACCGTTTGAACATCCTCAACCGTGCAAGAGCATAAATTGGGACTTCAACACGAATCAACCTGACTGTTGCATCTTGACGATCCTGAGTCTTGCCAGAACGCCGTTCCTGGGACCTCGACACCGCGCATTAGCGTAACTGCTGCGCCCTGGCAATCCTGCATCGCTCCAAGGCACCGTTTCTGGTACACGAGGCACGAGAATCAGCGAAACTCGTGCAACTTAAAAAACGAGTGTGCGCGAAACTAAAGCGAGAGCTACAGTTTGGAAAGGAGTCGCCCCCCACCCGTGGAGCTATCACAAGTGTTTGAAAAAAAACATGCGCGCGGCGCCACGGCGAGCACCACCCGCCCTCCATCCGTGAAGCTCTTGCAGATGTTGGGAACGAGTGCGCGCGGCGCTACAGTCGGGGCCCTGAAGAAGGAACCCTTTCGTTGGGGAGGGGCTCCGCGTTCCTTAAGTGTTTCGCAGCTTGCCTCAGGTCTTCCTTATGCTTTCGATCGGAAGTCGAAGTTTCACTTATGGAGAAAAGGGGCCTCGTTCCTTATTTAGGGTTCCTTAGGTCAAGGCCCCGACTGTACACCTTAGGCGATGCTTAAGAAAACCTATTTTTTTGGCCAGAGTCTCGATTATTCTTAACTTTTCAATGTAAATCCTAAGATTTGAGTGGAAAGTTTGGGTTTTTATTCAATTTCTGAGACTATGAATTTCTTAACCCATGATTTCTTAAGCATTTCGCAGGGTGTAAGGCGAGAGCCACATTTTGGAAGCAGCCCGCCCTCCGCATGTGAAACCGCTGCCAATTTCGAAGCTTCCGGGTCACAAGCGGTAGGTCAGCCTCAAGCGAAGCGCCCGGCCCGCCCTTCCGACCGGCCTCGGCGTGCGACAGGGAGGAAGGAGGAAGGTGAGGAGGAGGAGGAGGAGGACGAGGACGAGGACGAGGACAAGGAGGAGGAGGAGGAGGAGGAGGAGGAGGAGGAGGAGGAGGAGGAGGAGGAGGGAGGAGGACGAGGACGATAGGGAGGAGGGCCGCCGACGTCTCAATTGACCCCGCTCTTCTCGTGCTCGTTCTCGAGAACTGGGCGCTGGGGTCGGCGATCCGTGGCCGGATGCGCCCAGAAGCTCGGAATTCGCGGGCTGGCCGTTCGATAGGGCCGGCGCCGACGCAACACAAAAAAGCGCGCTTGACCGCTCAGAGGGCAGCTCGAGTAGGAGCGTAGGGACGAGGAGTAGGCGGAGAAGGATGATGACGATGATGATGATGATGATGATGATGATGATGATGATGATGATGATGATGATGATGATGATGATGATGATGATGATGATGATGATGATGATGATGATGATGATGATGATGATGCTGATGCTGATGATGATGCTGATGCTGATGATGAGGAGGAGGAGGGATGATGATGATGATGATGATGATGATGATGATGATGATGATGATGATGATGATGATGATGATGATGATGAATGTGATGATGCTGATGCTGATGCTGATGCTGATGCTTGATGATGATGATGATGATGATGATAATGATGATGAGGAGGAGGAGGGGGATGAGGAGGAGGAGGAGGAGGAGGAGCAGCAGGGGGAGGAGGAGGAGAAGAGGGAGGAGGAGGAGGAGGAGGAGGAGGAGGAGGAGGAGGAGGAGGAGGAGGAGGAGGGAGGAGGAGGAGGAGGAGGAGGAGGAGGAGGAGGAGGAGGAGGAGGAGGAGGAGAAGAAGACGCAGGAGAAGAGGGAGGAGGAGGAGGAGGAGGAGGAGGAGGAGGAGGAGGAGGAGGAGGAGGAGGAGGAGTGGGACAGCTACCCTAGAACTGCACAGACACGGCGTCGCTGTTTGCATGTTTTCATCGCACCTTTGCACTGTTGGCAGCATGTACCTAATGAACTATGGCTCTCTCACTATATTCCAGGGTGTGCCTTTACTCTGGGCTTAATCACTAAGGTTCATGCTGTTTTACCTGGCAGGCGGCCACTATTCTACCTATGCTTTCCGCTGTATCCACTTACGGCCATATCTGCGGCACCCGCCAGGTGCTCCTTTCGCCGAATCGTCTACCTTATCTTTTTGTTGCCGCACTTCAAGAACGCCACATGCGTAAGCGTACTGTCTGGCCAACGCAAAAGGAGGGGGAGAAGAAGAGGGAGGGGGACGGGGAGGAGGACGAGGAGGAGGAGCAGGAGGAAGATACAAATAATACTACAAATGAGAAGAAGAGGGAGGAGGACGATGAGGAGGAGAAGGAGGAGGGGTATCATGATGCTGATGATGATGATGATGATGATGATGAGGAGGAGGAGGAGGAGGAGGAGGAGGAGGAGGAGGAGGAGGAGGAGGAGGAAGAGAACGGAATCCTGCGGAGCGTTGCCGACCTGATGATTGCCATGTCTCTGACTGCTGGGGTGCTCTCGGCTGGACTGGTCAAGCAGCACGCTCGGGGCGGGCTGAACCAGGGGGCCCGGATCTGCCTCCGCTCGCATTGTTGCCATTTGAGGAGGGGGAGTTGGAGGAGGAGGAGGAGGAGAAGCAGGAGGAGGAGGAGAATTAGGATGAGGATGAGGATGATGATAATTACGATGATGATGATGATGATCATGATGATGATGATGATGCTGATGATGATGATGATGATGATGATGATGATGATGATGATGATCATGATGATTGAAAGTGTGACACATTATCACTGTCCGCATCGGAGTCCTCTGCAGCTTTTCTGGCTTGGGATGGGAGGGCCCGGCCCGCTCGGCGCCCCTGCCGCCGCGATCGCGGCGTTCCTCGGTGGCCTCAGCGGCGGCTGGTGGGCCGGGCCCGAGGCTGCGGGGCAGGGCTCCTGCGGGCACGTCCTCGACTGCCCACCTTGCGCCTGCCCGGCGCCTGCTTGCCCCACGCTGACTTGCCCGCCGGCGGCGCCCTGCCCGGCGTGCGTCTGCCCGGCGGCGGTCTGCCCCGAGGCGATCTGCCCCTCGCCGGCCGCCTGCCCGGCGGCGGCCGCCTGCCCCGCCTGCACCTGCGGCTGGGCGACTTCGGCGGTGTGGGCCGCCGCTCTGGCTGCTGCGACCCTCGCCTTGGGTCTCGCGGCGGCCTGCCGCCTGTGGTGCCACGGCCGCTGGGTCGGCACGGCGACGGCCGGGGCCTCGTTCGGGGGCCCCGCCACGCCCTCCGCCCTGGCCGCAGGCCGTGCGGCGCCACCGCCGCTGGCGCTGGGCGACCGCGACGCTGGGGGTACTGGCCTGGCTGCTCTCGACGAGCCTGACGTTTGGGTGCCGCGGCGTCGCCGCTGATGGCCGCCGTCCCGCAGGCCCTCGACATCGAGCAGCAGCAGATTGCCGAGGCGTTCGACGACGACCCGAACTTCAGGTGGCACCACCGCATCCTCCTGGTCAAGATCGGGGACGACGGGCGGTGGGTGTATGCGACTCCAACCCACGATGTCCAGGTGCGGAACCTCTCCACGTCGCGCATCGTGCCGCTGGTGCGGGGGTGCCCCATCCCGCCTCGCCTGCGGGGGAACTTCTTCGGTTTCGACCCGTTGGGGGAGGACGAGCTGGCGGGCCTGATGCAGCAGGCGCACGCGCTGGCGAGTATCTTGGGTGGAGCTGCGCCTGCGGCTGCGGCCTCGGCGGCCGTCTGGTACGTTGCCGACCCAGCCGACGAAGACTTCGGCACCGCCGTCGAGGTCGCCGTCACCTCCAACCCCGCGCGATTCGTCTCCCGGGGTCACACGGGGCTCGCCAGGATGGACGACCAGAGGTGGGTGGCGGTCGAGAGGCTGCTGCCTGGCGACCTGGCAGCCTGGAAGGAGGAGAAGCAGACAGGTGCCGGCCGCGACCCCCGCGTGCTCGCCATCAGCCGCGACGCGCAGGAGGCCCGTTACCTCGACTTCAAGGAGGGCCTGGCCTCTCTCTTGGAGCTCCCTGTGAAGACGGGCCGCGACGGGATGACGACCGCCGAGGCAAAGGACTGGCCCTTCCGTGGGCCCTCGGCCTCGCTCGAGCTGCTGCGCGGGATCCGCGCCTCAGGAGAGTCCCTGGAGAGCTACCACTCTGCGTGGGCCAGGTCGTCTGGGGTCAGCGCCGAGGCTGGCGTGGCCAAGCATCACCAGAGCCTCGTGTCCGTACTGCACCACGCGCTCTGCTTCGACCAGCTCGAGATCTTCCAGAGTGCTGCGATGGAGATGCTGGCTCGGCGGGTACTCTACATCGAGCGCGCAGTCAAGAAGTCGCCCAAGAACCCCGACTTCCGGGGCCTCGAGATGATGATCCACAGCCGCCTCGACAGCGGCGCCACCCTGGCGGTCGGGGACTTCGCCCGCTTCATCGCCGACGAGCAGAAGACGGAGGCCTTCGCGCTGAAGCAGCAGCGCCTCTACGCCGAGGAGAGCGGCCGCAAGAAGGGCGGCAAGGACAACGGGTAGGGCCATCGAGGCCCTCCCCCTCGCGCCTGGCCCTCCGCCTCGCAGTGGTGCTGCTGCTGCCGCTCGGATGGATCGCCGCGGTGCTTCCCGCTGGCAGTGTGGACTGTTCCCGCTCCCGCGGCCCAAGTCATTCTTTTCTTTGCCCGGCTCAGCGTCGGGACGGGGGCTCGTGGAGGCCGGCGCAGTGGGCGCGTTGCAGCTTGATGCCGCCGCCGCCCTTAACGCTCTGGCAGCCGCGCGCGCCCGTGGGCTGCCCAGGCCGGTGTGGCCCAGCCGCCTTCCCCACGGGCGGGAGCTGTCTGACGCCCAGCTCGCGACGTGGAGGCGCCTCGCGGACGTGGCCCTTGCCGCGGGCCCGAGGCCACTCGAGTTCGATCTCTTCCCCTCCGGCGCCCTGCCGGAGCTCCTCATGGCAAAGGACCTCTACGACACGGACGTTCCCTTGGCTGCGGCGCCCTACGACCCAGACCGCGTCTCCGTCACCTCCAAGCGGCTGCGCCCGAAGGACGCCCGGCTGCTGGTGGGTGCCGACGCGGCCCGCTACCTTGCCGACCCGTCACTCATCGCGCTGGGGGATGCCCAGCTTGAGGGAGTCGAGCCTGTTCGTCCCCACTGGGATCGGCGTCTGGCTTCGAACCCCCGCCTCCTCCGTGACTTCGCGCAGAGGCTTGCCGACTGCGGCCTCATCTGCTACAGGACGAGGGTCGCCGCCCGCTGCGGGATGTTCTTTGTCAAGAAGAAGTCTGGGCAGCTCCGCCTCGTCCTCGATGCGAGGCCGGCGAACGCTGTCCACCGCCGGGCGCCCTACACCAAGCTGGCCACCACTGGGGCCGTGGGGTCGCTCATCCACGACCCGGGGTATGTGGCCGCTGCTGCCCTGGACGCTGCCGGAGCTGTTGGCGCGGCTCAGCCCGCCCCGCCTCGGGGCGCATGCCACTCCAAGGAGCTGTGGGGAGGCTCCATCGACCTCCAGGACGGCTTCTATCAGTTCCTGGTGCCGACGGTCTCGCACTACTTCGGCCTGGGGCTCCAGGACACCGCGGGGGCGCTGGGGGTGGAGACTGCGTTTGACCCCGACCTCGGGCGCGACGTGGCCGTCGCCGAGGACACCCTCCTGGAGGCGTGCTTCGCGGGCCTGCCTATGGGCTGGAGCTGGGCGCTGTTCTTCTGTCACAGCGCCGTGTCCGAGGCTTGCCGTCGGGCGCAGCGGTCGCTGGGGCTTCCCGAGCACCTCTTGGGGGATAGGGAGCCGCCCCCGCCGCTGGCCGCTGGGACAGCGATCTGCGCCCCCTACGTCGACAACGCCAACGTCATCGGGGGTGACAAGGCCTCCGTCGCCCGCCTCCTCTCCGCCGTGGTCCACGAGCTGGAGGAGGCGGGCCTCGCGGTGCACGAGCGCGTCGACCCCTGCCTGGACTTCGAGGCGCTTGGCCTGCACTTCGACGGGCGCCGCTCTTGGATCCGCCCCACCTCCCGACGATCGTGGAGGCTTTGGTATGGGCTCGGCACGTTGCTCCAGGTCAAGGCCATCTCCCCGGACCACATGCACCGCCTCTTGGGGCACCTTTGCCATCAGTTCTGTCTGCGCAGGTGCCTCCTCTCGGTGCTCGGCGAGTGCTACCGGTTCGTCGGCAAGGGGGGCTCCGCGGTGCGACCGCTGCCGGAGGGGGCTCTCGCCGAGCTGGCTGTCGCCCGCGGCTTGTGCCTCTTCGCGCGCGTCGACATCGCGGGCGAGATGCTCGGCCGAGCCTACTGCAGCGACGCCTCCACCGAAGGGTACGCCTTCCACTTCACCGCCGCGGACCCCGCCAGCCTCTGGCGGGAGGCCGTCTGGCGCGAGCGGTGGCGCTTCGTGGACGACGACGGCGGGCCCGCAGCGACGACCGCGGCCGTCCGCGGGGCCGAAGTCGCCCCCCTCTTGCCCGAGGGGGCCTTCTCCCGCTGGGTCGCCGGCTCGCTGCAGCCGCTGCCCAGCGAGGCCCCGCTGCAGGCTGGTGATCCCCGCTCCCGCCGCCCGCCCCGTGACTTCCGAGAGCGGGTGGGCCTGGTGCCTCCGATCGCAGCGGAGTGGGCGCGGCCCAGCCGCTGGCGCCGTGGGGCCGTGGGCTCCTGGCGGCGCCCGGCGGCGATCCACTGCAAGGAGGCCCGGGCGGCCCTCCTCGGCCTCGACCGCGAGGCGCGCGACGCCCGGTCGCACGGGTGCCACCTCGTCTCCTTCGGCGACAACCTGTCGGAGATCCTGGCGTTTGATCGGGGTCGAGCGAGGGACAAGGAGCTGCTTGCTCTCACACGCCGCGCGTGCGCCCTTCAGATCGGCGCGGGCATCACCTGGCACCGGCGCTACGTGGAGACCGAGCGCAACCCGTCGGACTTCGATTCCCGCCTGGCCGGGCGGGGCCTGGTGCCTTTCGGGCGCCGCGCGCCGGGGGCGCTCCTCCGCCAGCTGCCCTTGGCCGCCGCCGTGGGGCCAGAGTGGCAGGCAGAGGCGGCCGAGCCAGCTGCGCCCCCTGGGCGCCCTCGCGGGGAGGCCGCGGTCGCCGGAGGCCGACGGCCCGCGGCGCTGGCCTCCAGGGGGGCCCACTCGCTGGGCAGGGGGGGGGGATTCAGCCCTCCAAAGTCACAACCCCCTGCCCGGCTCCCCCGCCGCGGCCGCCGCGGCCGCCCGCTGACTCTGGCGCCC